TCACATGATAGCTATTATTATAGGAAAACTCGGCCAAAGGAAGGTAAGTATCCCAACTACCTCCAAAGTCTAAAACACACGCCCACAACATATCCTCTAGAGTTTGGATGGTTCGCTCACTCTGACCATCCATCTGCAGGTGAAAAGTGGTGCTAAAGTGCAAACGAGTACCCACCTCATTGTGAAACTTCTTCCAGAATCTGGAAGTGAACCGCACATCTCTATCGGAAATCACCGAAACTGGTACCCCGTGCCGAGCCAACACTTCTTTGATATAGATGTCGTCCAACTTTTCGGCCAAAATGCTCTCCTGAATTGGAATGAAATGGGCACTCTTGGTCAACCGATCCACGATGAACCAAATCGAATCCACTCCCCGTGCGGTCCTGGGAAGCTTCATGATGAAATCCATAGTGATATATTCCCATTTCCATAGCGGAATATCCAATGGTTGGGTCTTGTCGTGAGGCCTCTGGTGCTCGGTCTTGAACTTCCTACAGATCAGGCATCTCTCAACGAACCAAGCTACATCCCTCTTCATGCAGGGCCACCAATAATCAAGACGAAGATCCCTGTACATCTTCGTCACTCCGAGATGGATAGAAAACCTGGATTTGTGGGCCTCCTCCATCAATACCTGGCGCACACCTCCACAATATGGGACCCCACACCCTACGGTGTATAGTCAACAATCCATGACTGTCATAATCGAAGGAGGAAACTTGACCCACAATACGCTCACTCTTGCGATGTTCCTCCTTCATAGCCTCTTGTTGGGCCTCTCGAATCTGATCCAACAACGGAGTCACCACGGTCATCCTCATGCAGATATCTCTGGTCTGTGCTGCCTTGCGGCTAAGTGTACCGGCCACGACATTGGACTTCCCTGAGTGGTAGAAGATCTCACAATTGTAATCCTTCACAACATCAAGCCATCGACGCTGTCTCATATTCAGATTCGACTAATCCATAAGGTACCTCAAACTCTGATGGTCTATGTAAATGGTACAACGGACCCCATAAAGGTAATGACGCCAAATCTTGAGGGCAAAAACAACTACCCCCAACTCTAAATCATGCGTCGGATAGTTCGCCTCATGAGGCTTCAGCTATCTCGACGCGTAGGCGATAATATGCCCCCTTTGCATTAATACCACGCCCAGTCCCAATACATTTAAGCATATTATCATGTTTGTTTTTTGTTTTAGTAATAACAATATTGTAAAGTTTTATCAAAATTATAAATTTGATAATAGAAAAATATTTCAGAATTATTATATTTTCGTATTCTTTGAAAATTTTCTCCCTTATAAAAAATAACAAGACACTAATTTACATCTTAAATTTTTATACGAAAAACTAAATGTGTATGTGTGTGTGTGTGTATACACACACACACACACACACACACACACACATATATATATATATATATATATATATATATATATGTGTGTGTGTGTGTGTGTGTTTATGTGTGCAAATATGTGTATATATTTTCACAACCTGTTTATCATTCATTTCTTCGTTAGACATGGCAGAAAAGAGAAATAGAGCTAGTTGGCCTTCGAATTTTGTGAACAAAACTTTTCTTGATGCATGTATCCAAGAACAAACAAGTAACGGTAAAGAGGGTAGTGGTCTCAAATGTACCTCATGAAATATAATAGCTGAAAAACTAAAAAAAAATAAATAAATAAATAAAACACGACTTTGTTGTTGAGAAAAAACAAATGAAATATCTTTATGATTACTTGAAAAGCAAGTATGCAGTTTGGTTGAAATTAAAAAACAAAACTGGAAATCTCTATAATCCTGTCACAAACACGTTTCAAATGACGGATGAAGAGTGGAAAGCAGAGGCAAAGGTAAAATTTTAATTTAAAACACATTATTATTTTTTAAAAATTTTAATAATAAAATCATTTTTTTCAAACAATTGAACAAGATGGTTGAGAAATTAAGAAATGCACCCCTCCTTTACCCTGTTCTATGCATCCACTTGTTTGACGGTGCGACCTCGACCGATGCTGCTAGTTGGGGACCATCTTCCACACTCCCTCATCCTGCAAAAGTCTTTACTACACAAGATTATGATGATATTGAGATGGTAGATACACCACCTCAAACGGATATCCCAGCCTTCGCTTCAACAGTACCCCTACCTACAAGTGCATCACATGCAAGTGGAGATTCGTCTGCTAGGTCCAAAAATACAAGAGGAAAAAGAAATGCACCCACGAACACACTGGATGATGACATAAGATAGGTTGGCAAGGAAATTATGAAAGCGATTCAGGCGTTTGCGCAAACTAATAATCTTGACAATGAGATGGATGAATGTATTGAAAAATTGAAAGGCTTGGAGTGGGGAAATTCTGATCCGAAATACATCACTGCTCTTATGTTATTTGCTGAAAATCCTGGTAACAGGAAAATTTGGTTACGCCTCGAGTCTTCGACTTGTGAGTTGTGGGTGACAAGTGCGGGAAAGAATTTTGGATTACTTGGTTGACTTTAGTACGATTTTAGGATATTTTTGGCTTTATGCTTTATGAATTTATATTATGGTACATGTTATGGATTTTTATGTGTAGGTTTGTTATGTGTTATGTTTAGGATTTTTAAGTTTAGGTTTTTTATGTGTTATGCTTAGGATTGTTATTTGGCATTGATTTTTATGTTATGGAGTTATATGTTATGCATTGTAATGTTATTGATTAATGTTATGGTTTTTGTTATAAAACTTATGTGATTTATATTTAACGTTTAACAAGTTACACATGGACAAGGATGGTGCGATTTTAGGTTTCCTTATACTCTCATGATATTGGTTGATGTTGGTTCGAAAAAGGAAAAATAGAATTGGAAGAATAAAAGCTAACGAATTGGAAGAAACCGGGCATTCATATACAGAAGATTTGATACACGGGTGTCCTATACAATGTTACGATATGATGCGTCTTTCACAAGATGCATTTGTAGTATTATGAAATCATTTTACTCAAAGAAATTGGTTGCAAGGTAGTAGGACAATAAGCATTGAAGAGAAGATGGTTATATTTTTACATTTATAGGACATAATGAACGTTTTCGAGCCGTTAAATAAAGGTTTCACCACTCCATACAAATGATCCATCAATGTTTTCACGAAGTGCTAAAAGCAATGATGTGTTTTGCAAGAGAAATTATTGCACCAACATCTTCTAATACAACAAGAAATACCTATGAACAACATAGACTGCTAAAAAACATATTTCCTGGAGCATTATGTGCACTAGATGGAGCACTTGTACATACAGTTGTGCCCGTTGATGAACAAATTCGCTATAGGGGAAGAGGAAAACGTGAATGTTATCAAAATGTAATAGAAATTTGTGATTTTGATATGATATTCACCTTTATATGGGCTGGATGGGAGGGCATAACACATGATTCTAAAGTTTTGAAAGAAGTTGCATTTAATCCGACTTCTGGATTTCCATTCCCTCCACCAGGTTTGTAATTTTTCTATAAGTTTCATTATCTATGTTATTAATATGATAAATTTGTCAACCATCTGCAGATAAATATTACTTTTGTGATGTCGCATACACCAACACCCATGGATTTATGGCTCCTTACCGCAATACTAGGTATTGGTTAGCCGATTTTCGATGAAACAGAGCTTTAAATAAGGATGAAAGGTTCGATCATGCTCATGCATAACTTAGAAATATCATTGAACGTGCTTATGGTGTATTGAATGCGAGATTTCCAGTTTTAAAACGTATGGCTCCTTATCCTTTTCCAGTGCAAAGAGACATAGTCATTGCTTGTGTTGCGGTCCATAATTTTATAAGGAAATACGATATTCAATATGGTTACTCCTAATTTGGGGGGTGGAGGAAGTGACGGCCAAAACATATAAGGCATAGAATGGGGTTCAAAAGTCGTAGACTATATGATTACTTTGCGTGACCATATTGCTAATCAGTTACTTTCAAATGGTTCACGTTAAATGTACTTTTTTATTATATATGACAATGTGTATTTGGATTTTGTATTACACTTTCTATTTGGATTTTAAATGATGTATGTTTAATTTGGATTTTATGTGATAATTTTTATTTTTATAATTATTTTATTCAACACAAGGGACAACAACATAAGGATAATATGGGTATTTTTATCATTCAGCACAATCAGTCAGATAAATAATCAAACAACATAAACTCAGTCAAATGTGGATTCAATCAGCATTTCTAACACAGTCAGCTTCTAACTCAGTCAGCTCTAACCCAATCAGCAACTATCAAACGAACTCTTACTCGGATTTCTATGGATTTGTTTTGAAAACAATATTTGTCTATCTTATGGTTTTATGAAAATGTTTTTTAAAAATCAAAAATTGTCATGATTTTTGAGATGTTACAATTTTTGGAAGATTACATATTTTCAGCAGAGAGCGTTGAAAGGATTTTTGTAAGCTGAAAATGTAAAAGTGAGGGTTATTTGAAAATTTAAGGCATATCCAGTAACGGCCAATGGGCTAAAATCCAACCCGAAGGCTACAAATCGCAAAGAGAACGCACAAAATTGCAGGTGTGGTTAATCATCTACTATTTGAGTAGCTAATTCCGAAAAAAAATAAACAAATAAATAAATAAAAACTATTTTTAAGTTATTTGTCTAATTTTGCAACGGACTTACATTTCCCAAAACTTATATATTTTATTGCTTTAACGTGAAACTTGCGTAGCTTCAAATAGCATATGATTGAGGAAATATAATTACATTACAATTAGGGGGCAAATTGGTAAATAAATAAAAAGTGAAGTGCATTGCTATTATCTATAGTAACATTCAAGACGATAATAAACTACCATTGGAAATCCGAACAAGAATTACAAAACACTCTATCATTTACACAACCAAGTTATAAACATAACATCTACCAAATTACACATGTAAAGCAAAGGAAAGAAAAAAAAAAAAAAAAAAAAAAAAAAAAAAAAAAACACAAGTCATTACTTACTAAAAAGCTACACAACATCTCATCATCACATATCCCTGAATTCTTTTCAAGTATAAAAAACCCTTCAACAGCCACCCAAAAACTTCACTCTTCCTTGTATTTTCGGGTCTTTCCTTTCCTTGTACACTTGCATTTACGACGTAGTGGTTGAGCCTTTCATACTATATAAAAAAAATACACAAACGGTCCTCCTTTCTTTTGTCCTGGCAAACTTAAGTTTGTGAAAGAAGATATGATGCGGTTTCATGTGAACCCAACCCTCTCTGTGAATTTTGGTTAAAATTCCACAATCCACAACAGATCTCCTTTGTATATATATTATGTTCTGACACCCACAGTGACAGGTGGTATAATTTGTAGACCGATTTGCCTCTTGACGTGATCAGGAATTAGCCTGTTCACTAACTCGGGAGATGCTGCAGATAGCTGGATCATAAATAAATAAATATACAATTTAGTAATAGTTACAACCAAAACCCTAAAACTAATCTTCACCTCCATCGTGAAAATGTTCACGTTGTCCAAGCAATGGACCAAAGATGCAACAAATCAAACATTCGGATGAAAACCATAACTTTTGATATACCCAAGGGATGAAAGTTGTAATTTACTACTCTGATATAACTGATGGAAAATATAAAAGTGGAAGGAAGCAAAAGGGTAATTTTTAAGGATTTAACGAGCAAAATTGTAATTTACTCTTTTATAGACAAATTTAAAGGTGGTCCAAAAGGTGGAGGGTCATCAACTTAAGTTTGGGGTAAAGTGAAACACTTTATCCAAAAGTTGGTTTCTGAAGAGGAAAGTTGCAATTAATTAAGACAACTTAATAAGGAAGTGCACCACCATTAATATTTTAGTAATCTTGATTGATAATTCATCATCATGGCATTTCAGGAAATTTAACACCGTCCATATGTTAATTTAAAGGGCTACATTACATGCAAGAAATAGCAACGACTTTCTTTAATTGTTTATGATAGTGATTACAATGTTGTACTTGTAATTTTGTATTTATTAAGTATTTTACTTACCCAATTCTAGCAGTGAAAATTGGTTTGTATTGGATGAAGATGAAAGATAATAATTGGGTAGATTTTTCAAAGTACAATAATGTTGTAGTAATGTAATAGAAACAAAATAAACAAATAAATGGATCCTACATTGTTGTTTCTTGCATCTACATCAAAACACATGAAGATGAAGCCACGCTTTCTAGGGCTAGTTTCAATTATGAATATGAGAAAGGCATTGCAGAAAAATATATAATGAATGGTTTAAATATGTAGTGTTTGTTTACCTCTTGTTTGAAGTTGAATAGAGGTGGTAATTGTCGACCATTTGGTAGGCGAGCATTAGGTTGCCGAATCTCATCAAAGAAAGGATGTGCTATTGCTTCAAGCTGTGATGTTTTGTGTCATAAGATACTTGGTAAGAAAAAGGAGCACCAAATGTATCATAAGTGCAACAACTAGCAACCTACTCTTATTTATAGCATCCCACTTTCATCTTTTCCTATTTATAGCAATATTGGTTGGTCTTACTCTTACAAACACAGCAATAATTAGGTAGATTTTTCAAACTAGAATGTCCTAACCAAAAACTATAAGAGCATATCCACAATGGAAGCTTTCTCTTAGTCTTTCTTACTAGTAGGACATTATTATACTTTGAAATCATATTCATAGCACTGAAAAACTGCTTTTGTATATGCATTACAATGTTGTAATAGGAAGAAATGAGTAAAACTCAAACTCACAGCATTGCAACGAAGACTTGGAGAGTACTGAAGGAGCCTTGAAGCAAGATCAATGGCTTCCGGAGGCATCCGTTTATGAAATACCTGAAAAACAACACAAATGGCCGATTAGATACCAAAAAATGTCAGTATTTTAATTATCATTCATACGCTACCTTGTGCCAAGGGTGTGCCTTTACTTGAGGAAACCTAAAATCAGTGTAGTTGGGATTCATACATCGAAGTTCTTCTCGAGTTGGCGTCCCCAGAACCTGATATTTCAATACTTTAATTTCTAACAAACCATAAACATATATGAATATGATACATAAAACATTACATGGTAGAAATAAAAATGCTACAAATAGCAACGTCCTTTTATTCATTTTGTTTCTACTTTGAATGTCATCCAAGACCAAAACAAAGCTATACAATTTTTTAAAGTACATGTATGTCTTGATAAGAAAAAGATTAATATGTTGTAGCAGATCATAGAATAAATAAACCAAAGTATGTTGCTACAAAACATACCTTAATAATCTCCACAAGCTGATCCACTGCATTTTCTCCAGGAAATAGTGGCTACAAGAACCAAAAAAAAAAATCAATAAAACTTTTAAACAACAATTTCAACTGCTAAGCTAAAGCTAAGCTAACCTGCCCCAAAAGAAGCTCAGCAAGAATGCAACCAGCCGACCATATATCAATCGAAGTTGTATACTCAGTAGCACCAAAGATAAGTTCTGGGGCCCGATAAAAACGAGAACAAATATATGATATATTTGCTTCTCCCCTCACCTGACACCAAAAATAACTACTTAATACATGAATTACACAAAGGCTGCAAATAAATAACCCAATCATATATTTTAAAACTTCAATATTACCAAAATTATATATATAGACTTTAAAACTTACAAACCACAAAAAACACTGCTACATATATTTTATCAACTCAAAGACCTGTGCAGTTTCTTCTTTTACTTAAATGGAGCCACGAATTAATCAGGTAAACTAAATATAGGTGTGATTTTTCCTTTTTCGTTAAATGTATTGTCATCCTTAATTTCAAAAACACCATTTAATTTATCTGCACAACATTTAATCCCCAACAACTGTGGGCTATCAAGAAGTAAACATAACGTACTAGCATTTTTGCGCTTCCAAAGTCACAGATCTTGACTTGGTGAGTAAGAGGATCAACCTATTATTGAAAAGAAGTAGTAAAACAAATCAGAACTAAAATCAAAGACCCGAAAAAGTAAGAATATATATATATATATATATATATATATATATATATTCACAAACACACACACACACACCAGGACATTTTGAGGCTTCAAGTCCCTGTGGCATGCTCCAGCAACCATATGCATGTATGCTAGGCCCCTAAATATCTGAAATGCCACTCACAATCACATGTTGGTTAATTTTTTATAATAAACCAAAAGTATAAGAAAAAAAAATCCATTTGGATTGTGGATGAAACTAACTAACTTGATATGTGTATAGTTTGACATAAATGAGAGGCATCCTTTGACGAGCATCACTGTGATGCTTTAAAACCCGAAAAATTGTCTCTGGGACATATTCCATCACCAGATTGAGAAAAAGTTCATCTTTGCTTGTAGTTGAATAGAAACAATGCTTCAAAGAAACCACATTTGGATGATCCATTGTTCTCATCAACTGCAACTCACGATTCTTGTATCTTTTGTCTTGTAAAACCTTTTTTATAGCCACAGTTTCCCCCGTTTCTATACATTTTGCCTGCAGTTTCAGTGAAAAAAGATGGCATGTAATTAATTGACTATTATTATTATTATTATATTATTTTCAGTGATATGAATTACATACCTGGAAAACAATTCCAAATGATCCAGCCCCTACCACACGCTCTGCCATGTAACTCACAGTCTGCATCACACAACACCCAAAAATAAAATAAATGGCAGTGAAAAGTTTATTTATTTAACAAAAAAAAAACAATTATTTTCTCTATACCTGTTTTGGTTCTCCATTCTTGCCTCCGATTGTAGTGGATATGATGTGACCAGTTTCAGCTCCATTTCCATCAACAACCTGTGCCGACATTTCCTGCACCATTTAATTTATCAATCAAAATATGAAAATATGCAATTTTATCTTTTTGTTTTTATCATCATAACTGTATCACATATTTAAATGATATGGATAATTGGATATGGAATGGAACCATATTTATCCACCAAAGCAAAAGAAAACCATATCAATAACATATTGTTACAAATGTATTTTAAGGCTGTTTGTTGTATGAAAATAATGTCACAACAACATGGACCTTGACTTGCTGTCTATAGAGGACTGTTGTGGTATTATTTTCACACAATAAATAAACTTAAAAGCATTTAACATTATGTAACTCAAATATACTATCAATTTAACTGATAAACACAGTAATTTCCAGAGTTTCAGAAACAGACTGAATGTCCTTCAGACCGAGTCAAACTAGGAAGTCTTGCATCATCAATAGTATTTAGGAAAACAGACAACTGAATAATAAGATACTTACACAAAACTAATGATTTTAAATAACGTAGAAAGAAAGCACAATATCAGATCAGCTTAACGAAAATCAAAAAATGTAACCAGACTATTAGAGGCATAATCAAAGATGTAGTTGAAACTCATGCGATAAACTTCAAAAGTCATAAAAGGCCGATAGATTAAATCCGAATAATACCGCATTCATCTAACAAAATTCAACTAGATCAACACAAAACAAATATAAATCGCAGTATCAGAGACCTTCAAACCCTAGTCCACTTGATGTTAGCAGCTGCAAAAGTTTTGCATCTATATTAACAAAACTACCCCCAATCTTGCCCTAATTTAACATGATAAACTCCAAATTTCCAGAATAAGTAACCTGGTTCTTTATACTAGTAAACAAGAGGGTTTTCTTTCTTCATATCCTTAAATTTTCTCAAAATCGGAGTAACAAGGAGAATCATAACTTTAGAACAGATCGTAGCAAAAATAGAACAATTTCCGGCAAAAACACAGAAAGATGTTGATACCTTATCATCAGCCATTTCTCTGTTCAGACGATCGATATGGTAAAGAAATATTTTCCTTTTTTTTAATTATCTAGCTCATAATTGGTATGAAGAGGGAGAGAGAAAGAGAGAGGCCCCATTAGACAAACAGCTCCATGTGATTACAGCTCGTCTCTCATTTGCTGTGTCTTGAGGTGATGAGAGAGAAAGAGAGTGACGAAGAATATTTCTAGGTCCCCTCGTTAGGTTTTATTACACCTTAAAATTACTAAAATACCCTTTGTTTTATATATGATTATTATTAAAAGACTATTAATAAAATATTTTGCTGTTAATCGCAATACAGTCGTTAATTTTATACAGAATTTTGATTTTAACATTGTTTTATTTTTTTATAATTAAGAAACGGTTTTAAAAAAAAGATTAATTAAGACACTAAGTTTCAAAAAAGAGTAATGTTAATGCTATATTTTCCAATTTGTTGTGATGTTGACCATTTGACTAATCAATCATATTGTGAACCGACGTGGTATTATGACATGTCGGTCTTTGATGATGTGACACTCACGTAGAATGATGAATGGTTTTTTGGTGACGTCACTTTCTAGATATCAAAAATGAAAAATAAAATAAATTTGTGACTTAATTGAAAAAGAAACACAATGTCAAAATTAAACTTTTCTCAAAACGTAGTGTTTTTTGGCAATTTTCCCTCGTGCATGTACCAAAATGCATGTTTGGCCTCTATTTTCAAAAAATAACTTGAATCGTCCATGGGTTTGTTTTTTCTTGCACACTTCATCTCTGAAAGATGATTTTGTTGTGAACTTAGTCTGTGCTAAATTTTAAATGACCATAATACCCTTATGATTTGTATTTTTCAATTAATTTAATGTCTATTTTATGATTTTCAATTAAAAATAATAATAAATGTCCCCTCCCCTTTACTTGCCCCAATCCATCACTTTGTTAGCGATCAGAGGGAAAAACACAAACACACATACGTATACAGTCACAGACGACCCTCCGACGAACTTTCCTCACCCTTTTTCATTATGTTAGGTTAACAACGATTGGAAAAGAAAGCATTAAAATGTGGAAGGTGTGGGTGTGTTTGTCAATAGGGGAGGTTTGATAGTTATCGGAGTGCAGATCCGTCTCCGATCTCCTTCACCTTCATTTGAGATGTCGCAAGAAAGATGAAGAATGACTGTGAAACTACCATCCTTTCTATTTCCAAATTGTTGCCCTGAAACCACCACCATTTTGATTTTTGAATCTATAGGGGGGGGGGGGTCATCTGTGGTGGAGCTGAGAAAGAGAGCTATGGATTCATCTTCAAATGTTGGTGTTGCAGGTGTACCGAAAAATCTAGGTGGTCCGTCGCTGCACCAAACCAAACCCTAGTCGCCTCTGGTTTTTCTGACGAGATGGTAATGGATTGTTTTTCCATCGGTGTACAATCCCCACCCCACCTATCGATTTCTATAAGTCGATTTCATTATATTTCCTTTCAAGATTTGGTGTATAGGTGTGTTATCTACTAATCAATGTTGATTGGTGGCGATCTTTGAAGGGATTGTGTGCGATTGGTGGCGATCTTTGAAGTATGGGTAAGGAGGCAGTGATGTCATCATTGATGTTTGTTTAAGAACAAGAAGCAAAGAAGAGAGATATAACGATAGGTGGTTGTGGGTAAACCTGTGGAATAAGGTAGGTACAAGGTTTTCAGATTATGGTTTGGTTGGAGGAGTTGGCAGTGATAAGTGGTGGTGGGTAATTTGTGGAAAATTTGAAGTTAGGGAACTGGAAGGGTACGGGTGGGGATATTTGATTAATTTCTTTTTTTAATTTTAATATTGATAAAGAAATAAAAGAAAATGAAAAAATAAATTATTAAGGGTAAAATAGTCATTTTTTGTTTATAGGGACTAAGCGTGCAAGAAGAAACAAACTCAGGGATGATGTAAGTTAATTTTTGAAAATAAAGACTAAACATGTGTTTTGGAACATGCACGAGGGATTAATAGTGTGGTTTACCCTTTCCTTTATTATAACACAGTAATTAGGACTTGTTGGAGGGTTGGAGACCATTTTTGGGCAAACTTTTTGAGCAAAACAACATAAAAAATTTGGCATCTACACACGTTGTGCTATAATTAGTTTGCTATTAGTGTGCATTGCATTCTCCATCTCATGAATTTTCCTTGACAAATTCCTTGACCACGATCCTTTGATATCAAGAAGCTCGTAAATATTCTACCTTATTCCAGGTACCTGATAAACTGATATTTCACGCAGGTGCATACTGGTCAATAGACTAGTTATTGTAGAAGTTGGACCATCTGGTCTTACAGTTGGTGCAGGGCTTAAGCAAAAAGGGTTGCCCTTTGTGATCATTGATCGTACCAACTGAATTGCGTCTCTTTGGCAAAACATCTAAAACTCCATCTCCCAAAGCAATTCGTCTAAAAGTTCTTGATACATATCACTTTCGCTCTTAACTTAAAAACTAAGAAATAACCCTAATCAACTGTCGTACTTAATGCACATAGCCAACAACTTGGGTTAACCTGCATGAGCCCCATTGTTGGTGGTTAATGAATATGATCACTGTAAAATATGAATGAAACATTTTTTAAACTCTAAAGGAAAAGGTAAAGAGTTTTAGAGATTTGTTACTAAAAGACCTCATGCTCCAGTTAGAACCATAAGTTAAGATGACGTTGCTCGGATTCTAGGTCAAGGTATTGTTAGAGAAGCTCAATTAACTGCTCTTGATATCGAGAAGATGTAGGTCCACAATATTTCATTCTAATAAATGCTCTTTAGCATTCATCCTCATCTTTTTAAGCAAATCGAGTTATGTAAAAGTGAAAAATAAAGTTAGGATACACTTCAGACTTGTTAGAAGATTCAAAAAAACATCAAAGACAAATGATTGACCTCTGTTGTTAATAACTATAACGCTACTTTCAAATCGATTCATCTTATTGTCAACAATCTTATTGCCCATGGTGTCTCAAGAAATCCCATTGAGCACGACCTCAAGTTCCTTAACAACCTTGGAAAAAGGTTGGTGTAATGTGAAATCTTGTTTACCAAGTAATAGTTCTTTGAAAAGGTTGACACTTTTTCAAATATTTGATGAAATTCAAGGACATAAATCCAATGTGGAACAAACTCTGATAGAGATATCTGGTAGACCTCTTGCTCTTGTTAGTACAACAAGTTACAAGTCATATGGCAATATCCCAATAGAGCCACACGTTCAAGAGTTAAAGGTTCCGACTCTAGAGAAATCTTTTGGATTAACCCTGAAGTCGAAACTGAGGAACAATCATTTCAAAATGAGTTTTATCTTCTTACCGTGAAGTATAACTATCGGCGTAATCCAAATCCTAACAACAAAAATTTGAAGTCGTTTCAAAACCCATACCAAAACAAGAATTACCAACAAATATACCAACCTCCTCACCAAACAAACCATCAAACCTATCACAACCGCTCTGATAATCATCAAAATCATCCACAAAACCACCCTAATCATCCAATAAACCCTTCTTCGACTCCTCAAAGCCATCCGACACCATCTATTGTAAAACCTGAAATAATCTATCACAAGTGTGGTCTCGAAAATCATGTTGCTCATGCATGTCAATCTGAAGACAAGCCAAACTGAAGATCAAGGACTCAACTTACTATGAAAAAAAGTAAAAGAGTTAGTTGAGAGTAAAAAAAAAAAAACCTTTGTTCTTATTGTCTCAAAATGTATATTGGTATTGGTCCTCTAAGGATGAGAAATAGAGTAATGGTGTAACATCCGTCACTTGAGGTAATAATTATTTTTAAATATTTGTAATTTATTTGTTGGGCTATGGAATAAGTAATGGATTATTGAGTGGACTTTAGCAAGTGGGCCAATAGGATGAGGCTAGCCGAAGACGTACATTTGGCGTAAGTTTGGCGTACGCGGGGCATAGTGTAACGTTGGATGCGGGGGGCGGAGGTGCGTATGTGTAGCATACCAAGGTGTACGCGCAGCGTACGCAAGCAGACTTAAAATCCTAATTTTTAGGGTTTAATCCATATAAATACAACATTATAACTCAAACCCTAGCCTCCTTCCAACCTCTCAACCTCAGAAACCCTAGATAGCCTCTCATTCTTCATCCTTGTGTGTTTTTGGCTTTGTGAGGTTCATTGTGGTATTTAGAAGCTTAAAGGAGAAAGAAGAAGTTGAAGAAGAAGAACTTAAGGAGCTTGAGCTCAAGGATCTGAGATAACATCGCTATTTGGCACTCATTTGAGGTAAAAAGCTGTCAACTTGCCTCATGAATGCTTAGATCTATGTTAATGGAGTTTTGGGCCTTTTAGGTCCCAATAATGGATTTTTATTGATCAACTTTGTATCTAGGATTAGGTTGCCACCCTTAGTGTTATATGAGTCCCATTAGCAATAAAGTTTTGATATTTAAGGTTCTTTTGTGACCATGCATGAGTTCCAGTCATTTCCATGGAATTTAGTTGCTATGTTCCAAGTTTGGGTCCATTTGGTGGGTTGCAAGCCACCAAGTAATCGAATTTATGAGTTAAGACGTGTTAATGGACTCAGATCTGTAATTTGGGCTAAATGTCTTAAGGGATTAAGTACTTTTGAGGAATATGGCTTAACAGGGTAGTACGATAGGAGTACAAGCCAATACGTGCATCGTACAAGCCATGCAGCTTGTACGCTTAGCTTACAAGGGAGTACGTCCTGCGTAATCACTGATTTGGGCTTCATGTCATTCGGGCCTCGGTTTGGGCCAAACTTTGGACTTCTTAGCTTTTAGGCCTAGAGTTAGTTATTAGGCCAAGGACATATTTGGGCTTAGGAAAAAGCCCATTTGTGAAGTTGTGCCCAATTTGGAAAATTGGGCCTTTAGTGGGCCATTGTGGTCTTGGAAAGATTAGATGGAATTGGGCCTTAGATATGGTCCAAATTAAACCAAGGGGTAAAATGGTCATTTTACCCTAAGAAGGATTATGGTATTTTGACTAAGTATTGTTGTGATAATGATAGCTAGGGAGTCGTTAGAGCAACCGTTAGAGATTCCTTACCGTGAGATTTTTGCATTCAGATTTGCAAGGTGAGTTTCCTCCTGTATGAATGGGTCGAAGGCACCAATGTCGACCCGTATATGTTAGTATGTTCCGGCTTAGGTTCGATGTCGGGCAA